TATTTTCTTAGCTAGGTTATTCTGTTTGTTTGGTTTTCTTTTTATAAAGTTATTACTTTGTTCAGTTTTATTTTTGATAGTATATATACTGCACATATCCATTTATTCCTTATTAATGCGTTATTACCAAAAGCGCTAAAAAGAAACACAGCCAAATGTAATACTGTGTTATTATAGGTGACCTTTCCAACAGTGTGAATTTGTCGACAAATGACATGAACGTAAAATTGTGAAGATTATAGGGTGTCGTTACTACAGCGTTGTTGGAAATGTTAGAGAAGACGAAAAAGCGGGTTTATGAAAATTTTGTTGAGAAAGAAACTGGAACTTAAACCAACGACTGTGTGTTTAAAGAACGAACAATACGGTAACGTCTTGGGAAAAGAACATTTGTAGCAAGATATCTACGGATTTGTGCACGTGTTCAGAAAAACATTCAGTTAGAGAGAGTAGTCGGGTTTGACAAGATTTTAGCGGTATATAGACCTATTATTAGATGTTTTTTTTTTTTCGTGTTTATTATATTTTTTTTTTTGAGGTTTTTTTGGTATTTGTGTGAAGGTTGTGTGTAGGTGTTCGGAGTGTGTATATATTGTTTTGAGCACTATAATAAACTTTTGTTTGCATTCAGGTATTGCTCTTGGGTTTACTTTTTATCTTGGTTGCATTTGATTATTTATTTCCATGCCATTTATCACAAATTGTGACAAATTCAGAGGTTTTAAACCAGAAAAAGGAAATATTTTATATCAAAATTTTGCGCGTTTAACTGAACTTTGAAAAGGTGGAGAAAGAGTTAGAGAAATCTAGTGGAGATTGGGGCAAAAAATCTTATGTTGCACGAAGATATATTGTTGGAATATGTTACTTCTTCATTTTCTCAGAAAGAAAAGTTGAAGAAGATAAATTATTGAGAGAAGAGAGAGCAACGGAAAGAGAGGCCTTTTTCAAGAGAGAAGAGAAAGAACTAGATTTGCAGATAGTACAATGTGAGCAAGAGGCAAAGAGAAAAGAAAAAGAGTTGAGCATGGAGATGCAAATGAAAGAATCAAGCAATCATTTGGCATTGTTAGAATTAAACAAATTTTCAATTTTGAGAGAGTTAAAGCAGAGGCATTGACATTAGAAGTTAGTGCTAAGCATTCAAAATTTTAACCCTCTCAAGTCCCCTGAGGTGTCTGTTCAAAATCGTGTTAAGATGCCCGAACTTCCTCCCTTTAATGATCAAAGAGAGGTATTGACGCTTATCTACAAAGGTTTGAAAGGTTTGCAGAAAATGCTAAGTGGTCTAAGGATACATGGTCAAGAAATTTGAAGTGCTTTGCTTACAGGTACTGCTCTGATTCAGGTTTACATGTAGGTTATCTCCGGTGATGCATTTGATTATGAAAAATTGAAAGACTGTTCATTGCTTCAGAGATTTAGAATGTCCGAAGAAGGTTTCCGGTCATTGGTGAAATTCAGAGGTTGTAAACAAAAAATGCCAGTTTCAGTTTTTCGCGCGTTTAGACAATTATCTGAAAAGATGGATGGAACTCGCGAAATCCCCATTAACGTTTGATGGCTAAGAGATCTTATGCAATGCGTGAACAATTTATTTCAAGTTTTAAAAAACGACTTTAACAAGTCTACTTTCTATTAAGAACTTCATCCTTCAAATCACAGATGTTTTTTAAAAAAATGTTTTCGCGGTTAGCAATTTTCTTTGAAATATTGAAATAATGTGTGTTTCATATAGTTTCTTTTGCAGATATGCCCTCGAAAAAAACATTTTATTGCATCAGCTTTAATGTACTTTGTGTATGTGTTGGGAAGGGGTCATTAAAATTAAATTTGAACATATCAATGCTAACAGATGAAGAAGGGAAGCGAAAGAAAAAGTTTCAAAATTTTACGGTTTCAATGCTATTATAAAAAAGCATAAAGAAAACCATGTACATTCAGCATCAAATAACACAGCATATTGAATTATATTTGATTTTCATTTAATCTTGTACGAATGAATAAAATGTTCACTTTGAAATTAAATCACCACAATTAGAAACATATAAAAGCCATTTATATATTGTCTGCCACAATGTAAAAAAAAGAATTAAAGTAAAATCATGGACTTATAATTATCAAATCAATAAAAATGCACATTGTCCTAAGAAGCATTTGTTTTTGTGTTGTTTTTTTTTGGGGGGGGGATGCAATTTCAGTTGAGAGAGGGCAAAACCCTAGAAAAATGTCTTGAAATAAAATGAATAAAGTGGAAAAACATAAAGTAGGTACATTTTACTTTTTCTATCGTATATTTTTTTGTCAATTATTTTTTGGTTGTCTTAAGATTGTGATAAATCTAAAGATTATCATAAGATATGACAGTTTTGTGAAACGGCTATGGTGCAATTTTACGAAAATTTTCGGTCTTAAGACAGATCTTAGTCATAAGATAGTTTTGTGAAACGCGCCCCTGCCTCGTAACTGACAGGGCGGAGTGTGGAAAGTGTACTCATCG